AAAAAAAAAAAAAAAAGTAAAACAAAATCCATTGCTGATCAGATTTACAAAGCTTCTCCCCGGAACCTTTATTGGCTTAAATCGGCATGAAAAGGTCAATGGTCCTGGATAAAAAAATGCTGGATATATTTAACTGTAATGAAGCATTTTGACAAACACCATAGGAGCATGTAAGATGTAACAAAGAACAACTTACCTCAAGGGCCCGCTTAGTGGACTTGAGGCGGCGCAAACGGTTGATAGTGTGGAAAATATCGCCACCGTGGATGGGTAGCCCGTCGCCCATCCAGCTCTGGAAGGCGGTGGCCACGGACTCACCTTTCCCTAATTTCTCGATCCTCAAGCCTAGGCTATTTGCTTCTCCTTGAGTTGTTTCTTCTCCAGATCCCGACGAAATTTCTCTCGCGTGATTTAAGGTTCCGTCCGGTGATGTTATAGTGCATAAACTGAGAGTGGGGCGAAAATCTCGATGGAGCATAAAAGGTATTCCAAGTGTTCGACGTATTGCTCCAAAGGCCCTTCTTTCTAGCAAAACAATGGCTGCGGCTCTCATGCTTCGACTGGTAAGGAAAAATCAAATGCCATCAAAAGCTAACGAGAGGAAAAATCAAATTTGCCCAGGAAGATGACAATACCCATGACGAATTGCTTTAGATCATGCAAATATTTTCCGTAATTGCTAAATTTGAAAAATATATCCATACTCAAATGGTCCTTACATTATATTATAATATCAAAAAGCGAACCAACTACGAAGAATTGTGCAATTATTATAAAATTGATTGATTTAATGGTAGTCATGTAATTATTGAATGGTTTTGCGTTGGTTCATCGATATAAAGGGGTGTCAAACTGACTCGGACCTGTGTTGGCCCACCCCGACCTAAAGCAGTCAGGGCAAGTCGAACCTGTTTAGTTTTCAAAATGGGTCAAGCCAGGTCGGATCCGTTTCATGAACGGGGCATGTCTGGATATATATGCGTATCTTTAAAAATCATAGTTTTGAGAATCGGATCGAACTGATTGGCAATTGGTTGGGCAATCCTCTTACCGATTATGTTCTCTTGAAAAAAGTCTGTTGCGAAAGAACCTGCCAACAACTAGTCATTGACCGGTGGTCAAACCGATTGAAACCGGTAAGAATCAGTCAGAACTCAGAAGTCACGCAGTTGGAACGGTTCTTGCTTTTATATTTTGCTTATAGAAGTAGTTTTCTTAATATTTGCAATATAAACAAATTAACTTTATATGTTTTGAATATGCATAAATTATTATATCAATTAGCTAAGGCAATTGAATGTTTCAAATTATAAACATAATTACTAAAAGGTGTTTATATATAATTTAACACTAAATATTATATGTATTTAAAATATATTAATAATTGCATTCAATCAAATCGACTTCAACCATTAACCCGACCAGTGAACCATTAAATCTATTGTTCGACCGATTCGCTCAGAACCATTCTAAAAAAAGTATAATTATTTAATTGACAGTTGCTTTGCTTGATAGAAAGTTTTTTTTATGTTGCACTTTGAATTGTGGCCTGATTGTACTTGCCCAATACAGTTAAAAATGACGAAGTTTCTTCACCTAATTTCACAAATCACGCCATTAACACATAATCAATCTATAGGGATGCTTTACAGCAATCTTCTCTAACAGTTAAAAGATAGGAAGATGCTACAGTCCGTTACGGAACCATTCCGTTGAGGTTTTCAACCGTTAGATCAACTATCTCAGACGGTTACATGATGATCTAACGGTTTTCATTCCGTCTTTCTTTTTTTTTTTTTCAGAAAAACTACAACGAATCGTCGACTCAAATAACCGTTAAGTCTTAGTCTTTTATGTTGCTGAAATTGCTTCGTTAGATGGTTTTATTAAGTTGGAAACAGAAGCTTTTGTGTCTAAAATCATGGTTTTGTTTTTTGACCGCCTGCACCGCAAGAGAAAAAAATTCGAACCAAACATAAGGTTCGGTTCGGTTCGGTGCGGTTTTTCGGTAAACCACAAATAAAAAATGATTACTACAATTAAAAAAAAAAAACCATTCAATGACCATGACAAACAGCATCCCACAATAATAACAGAGGGCAGCATCCCAAAAAACTAACAGAGGGCACGAGAACTAACAGAGGTCGGCGGTGAGAGACTGAGAGCGAGCCGACGGTGAGAGACTGAGAGCAAGGTCGAGACTCGAGAACTCCGGAAGGTGAGAGTGAGGGGTTCAGAGCGGCGGAGCTTGAGATTGAGAGAGCTTGAAGTTGAAAACGACGGGCTGCGGGGTTGAGAGAGAGACGATAGAAGACTAAATGTGAAAATTAGAGTTCCTTTTAATTTTTAAGTTTTTAATGTAAAAGTAATAAAAGACAAAAAATGCTGCTTGTATTTGTCATTTTTGTATAGTTGTATTATATGTAAAAGTGTGAAAATAAAATGACACTTTATGACTTGCAGTTTGGTTAAAACTGCACATTTCAGAAAGAAAACCGAATCGCACTGAAATTTTTGCGGTTTTTCAAAATTTAAATTGCACCGTTAACCGAGTTTATAAAAAATCGCACTGAACCGCACCGAATTGCTCGGTTCGGTTCGGTTTTTCAGTTTCGGCTCGATTTTGCTCAACCCTATATAAAAGTATATGAAAATTTGCCATTGTTTGTGAAAAGATAATGTAATGTATATTCACTTTTCCATTTCTCCATCTAAGATCACATGAACAGAAAAATGTTCATAAATTATTTTGCACAGAAAATGACTATTATTCATTGTTTTTAAAAAATGGCTAAAACCAACCCATCTAGGCTGTCAACTGATACCCCAATGAAGCTCGAGAAAACGAACCCCAGAGCCAATTGCCTACGAAGAAAATCAACCGGCTACTCGAGCCTCAAATCCGACGAGCCAACTTCCAGTACTCCAAATTATCTCAGAGCCTCAACTGGCTCGTGCCACGATTTTTGCAAGTATGGCATAAAACGAGCTCTCCCGATCAAGCCATGGCCCCCGGTGGGTCGAAAGCTCGACAAAAATGGAAATGACATGTTGTTATTATCAGTATCAGATGAAAATCCCAGAAGAAAAATGATTTTAACATCTCCAAGAAAACAACACCTCCAAACTAATGTTCGGGTAAAACCGGAACCTCTGAAAACAACAGATTCATTCGGCACACAGCCGAAGAAAAACTTCTTGAAAAATTCGAGTAATGCACGTATAGACACAAGAACACCCAAAACAAGCAAGAAAAGCAGCAGTTTCCAACCCGTAAGTGGTCCTCCGGCTTTACCATTGAGTTCGAATATCAGAACAAACAAAAGCTCCCAGAAAAAAACTCCTCACTCGGAAATGGAAACTATGCTGAGAAAAAAACCAGTGTTGAAGATGTCCTGGAGAAGATTATTCATATGATCGAGCCGAGAGATGAAAACAATGCCCAAGAAAGCTACAGCTGCACTGAATTTACTACTTTGACATCAATTGAGAACCAGAATTCAAATAGGGGAAAAAAAAGGCTACAAGAGTTTCAAGTATAATTATCTCCAATGAAGCAAAGGATATTGCAACCGAGAAGCTGAAGTTTAGGAGAGCAAAAGTTCTCGAAGATAAGTCAGCTCATAAGAAAAACGATGATGAAACGAGTATTCTTAGGCACCGGGCTGTGAAATAAGAGATGTGAATTCAGTGTTTATGAACATCGTGATTGAAGAGACGGCTAATAAACTGGTAAAGAAAAAGATGAGTAAAGTGAAGGCTTTGGTTGGCGCTTTCGAAAGTGTCATCAAGATTCAAGATTCTTTAGTGTAGATTAGAGCACGGTTGCTTTATTTAGTGCCCCAAGATGTTAGAAAAAAAAAAATGTCCTAGATTAGGGCCAAAGAGCAAGAAGCAAGGCAATGCATATAGCTGGTTGATACTAATAACAGTTAGGGTAAGTAAACGGTTTGAGAAAGAAAGAACTCTATGTATTTCTTCATCACTTTGCTGTGGAATCTCTCTCATTAGCTTCAACACTATAATCAAACAAAATCATTACCTTGTCTTATACATGATGAGTCTTCTGAAGATAGTTTCTAAGATTTGTCGCCAAATATAAACGAAAGGAAAAAAATGGAATACGAACTGAAGCCCAGGGTTTGTTACATTATATCAGGTTTTGTAACTTCTACAAACATACTAAATAATGTTGAATTAAGTTTATATTGTTTCCATTTTGTCTATTTTTCATCCTTCTGTTAAAAATTCACTTCATTTTTCGTTTGTTAAGCCAAACATGCCTTGGATTCAAATAAAGATCGATTAGATTCTAACACTGTAGCTAAATTTGAAGGAATCCATACAGAAACCAAAAGATTCTAACAAGTTTCAAAGGCATACATATAATATAAGGTCCTAGAGATAGACAGGCCCGAGTGGCAAACTACTCCATAAAGCTACAAAGTCGATGGAACTATTGGAATCAAGAAAAGAACCAAAAACCCAAAAAGGTTGTTTTTGTCTCGAAAGTTCATCGAGTTTCTTCAAACACCATCATCCTTTAGGAGGATATGAATCTTCGAAAAAAATCCAACCAACCAACCAACCAACCATTCATTTCCGAGGGATTTCTTACCAGAAGACAAGTGATGCAAAAACGAGGCCAATGGACGAGCACAAAAGGATGGTCCGGGTGAGTCGAGCTCCTCCATCACTCAAGTCGGTGGTGGGGCCCATGCCGGTGGTCCCAGTTATCGAACCTCCAGTCGAAGGGGTTACGAAAGGTCCCGTGCCTGTACTTGTGCCTGTGCCCGTTCCCATGCCCGTGGTTGGTGGAGTCATTGTAGTGGATGTGGAGCTAAAAGGGGAAATAATGAATTGCACATAAATATATATTGATATAACATAAGATTAAAATATATATATACACACACCAGATAAATACTAATCATACATACATTCATTTATTATGTGAATTTTGGCATCAAGGTGGGGAGATTTACGGTGAATTAACCCGATTTTAAGGTATTTAAAAACCATCTATGAGTATCAAGCTACTTTTGTCTTTTGGTAGGAAGAAGATTTTCACAAATCAAGAAACCTCTAATCCTAGAAACTTTGGCATCTCTTCTTTGAAATGAGTATCATTTGACCTGTTTCTCTAAGTCAGTTATGAATCAAAGTGTTCTGATTTTTGTATGATGTTTCCTGAGGCATTTTCAAATGGCATTCATATGAGCATATATAGTCTAAGACTCAAGATAAATTGAGAAGTGCAGATTATAAGCTGTTTTCATCTTTAGCCAAAATGTGCTATTGAATTTCCTTTAAAAGGGGATCCTTTTTCCCTAATATGTACACCAAGCAAGGAGGAAACATCATTATGGGCACAAAAGAAATACTTAATAATCTTCATGCTAGTAGTTTTGGATCAAATTATCTTCAACAATGAACATCTTACATTTGGTCTTCTGATAGGTTGGTTTAACTACTAGTCGATATACTATTTCTACAAATTTGCATGCTTTATTAGAAAAGATCGTACTTTAAATAACAATATAAACATAAGTATATAAACATGCATTTCTGTTTACAAAATATGACTGTCAACCCACCAAACGATTAGGCCAGTACATACAAGAATTTGTGTTACTTAACCTTTCTCACCTTAGTTACAAAAAAGTATAATTTTCCTATAATACGTTATTGTTTTTTGGTTATATATATGTATAGAATAGCATTATTCGTATTTTCTTATATATCTTTTATATCAATTATTGCTTCAAAAAGATTATATCAAAAATTCAAAATACCACTTCTCATAAGTCTCACTCAGACAGAAAGATGGCCCCAATTGTCATTGGGATATTAATAATGAAATATCCATCACTGCTTTTTGAACAATGGTACCAATGGACCAACCTTAAAGAGTGAAAAGGGGGTTCAACAAAGTGGGTAAGGAAAAAAAAACAATTATTGGTGCCTTTTAATGAATACATGTTGTTTATGTTGGCAATAAACATCAAAAGATTAAAAACAGGCATTGGATTCTCTTTTTGCCAAGTACTACATTTGCATCATCTTAAGATTGTGCATAACTATTGCAGATTAAGGTGATAAAGTATTTAGTTCATCTGAAAACAAACAAGGACAAATAAATGAAATAAAATAAAAGCACAGCTAAAACATAACTTTGGATCATAGGGTAGTAGGACCGTATCGTCGACTGCAATTATTAGGTTTTTTAATATCGTACCATTGACTGTAGTTATCAAGTTTTTAATCATTGAATCAACATACTTGTGGTATATGTGTATGTATTGATCCAACAATAAAATGCAGTTAGTTGTTGTGTGTTGAAATTCCCCTTTGGGTATTGATTTGAAATATGATCCCAAGACCATATTCATGTCATGAAGAAAAGAATGGCTAATTAAAGAAATAATTTAAATAGGAACTTTAAGAAAGTAAGTATATAATTTATAGTTACAGATAACCCCTTTCATATTTCATAGTACAGTAAGGCCTTGTTTGTTAATCAGCGGTTACTTTTATCTGTTAGCTGTTAGCGGATTGCATTAGCTACTTTGACCAGCAGATTGTGTTAGCGGCTTGTAATAAAATGTTTGGTAAAAATTAGTTGTTTTTAATTAGCTCTTAACATGTAAAAATTATTTATAAAGACATTCAATTATCAGAAAAGAATACATATCTATTCTAATTAAGCAAGAATATTAATTCCAGTAAAAAGAGTACTAATTATTAATGATAAGAACATGTACACACTTAAATTTTTTACTTATTAATTTGACCGGTACATATATTAAAATTACTGTTAATATGAGTAAGACATATAAATTAAAACTTGAAAAAGTGTGTGTAAGGCAAAAAAAAATTAGTAAATAAAAAAATTGATACAAGACAATTAAAAATGTGTGTAAAACGAGTGCTTTAAATGATGGGCCTGTGTCATGCTAATAACATTTTTATTTAAGGTGACAAAAGGAAACCAAAACGCTCTTTGATGTAGCGTTTTCATTTTTAGTGTTTTGAGCCAATAAGCTGATTTCAAAAGCTATTTTACCAAACATCAAAAAAACCAATTTTAGCTTTTCCCATTTCGGTCAAAACCGCTAAAATAGCTTTTTGGCAAAAAAACTGAAAAACAAGCTAGGATTAAGAGTACTATAGAATTTATAATTATAAATAACCCATGTCATATATATTTCATAAACTAACATGGTTCATTAATAAATCAATTTCCATAAGTACAAAATAATATTATTATGCATGCAACATTATACTTATTTTATCAACCAATAAGATGCTATGACTTTACATAAAATATATGATCTGGATTCTGGGATAAAAACAAACAAACTAATGGTCACTTTCACATGCACATGTCTCTACACCTCTACACTATACTGACCAGGTGGACTATAAAAAAGAGACTTTGAAAACTTTTCAACATTCATAAAAGAGAATAATAGAAACTAGTACTAATATCTATGTACAAAATAAGTGTTGAGTTAATAAATATATGTATAAAGTTATTTATGTCTAATACCAAACCTAATTTTAGAGTAAAAATAATATAAAAACAACATCACGAAGCATAGGTTTTTACCATGTCAGCGTGAGAATCTGCCACCTAAGCTCAACACGTTTTGAATTAATATATAGGGAGAAATTACTAATACAATTTCAAGAAGTATCATACAAGGCATCTTATATGCTAAATAGTGTACTGTTTTACATTATTTTTAAATGTTATAATTTTTCAGGTTAAGCATGTAAGACTTTTACTGGACACCACAAATAAATGAAATAATATACAGTATACATATATGTAACTATATGAAATATTCATATAGTATATTATGTATATGCATTATGATTACAATTAAAACACGAGTCACGCATATATAAAGCTTTTAACTTCTTGAATATAATACTAAAGCATCACGGATATATTTGTTTCTTACACAGTTCACTTTTGCTTTAACTTTCTTTAATATAAAACTAAAGTATATATTACTTTATATATATTCTTATACAGTTAATTTTTAAAATTACTTAATCCATTCGACAGTTAAACCAGTAACTCGATGATTCAACTGGTGACATGGGAAGCTAGCTCGGGCTACTTCTCTGGGTTTGAAAACATTGTTTTTTTTTTATTCATTTGTTCTTTCTAGAATTTTCATTTACAAGAAAATAAAAATCAATATTTCCAGATGATATCAGACCATCAACAGTACTCCATTTTAACTATTATTATTTATGTGTACGTTAATGAACTTTAACTTCAAAATGGAGATACTTTATTTGAAGTTCAAAGATATAAAATGAAAAAGAAAAAAATACATATTATATAATTTTTGAGGAAGATGCTACGGTCCCGTCATAGAATCATTCCGTCGGGGTTTATAACTGTTAGATCAACTATGTGTTACGGTTACAGGTTGATCTGACAGCTACAAATTCCGATGAAATAGTTCCATAACGGAACCTTAGCATTTCCCAATTTTTGAAACAGGTGAGCCATTTTTTGTACCTCAGCTAGGCATTTCTTTTTCCAATCACAAGACCAGAACAAGAAAAAAATAAAATAAAAAAATGTCCTAACAAGCAACAACACTCAACTGTCCAAGTCATATTTATAGATAACTCATTAAATTACTATAAATTCCAAAGCAAACCAAATTGCATACCAAAAAAAAACAAGAAGAAGTTCTTACCTCCCAGCTAGAGGATATTTACAAGTATTTTTGCCTGCAAATCAACCAACAAATAAAAATTTAAAAAAAAAAATCACAATTATATCAGATCTAGTCTGCACAAATTTTTCCATTTGGTAAACAAAATGAGCAAAGAAAATCAACAAAAACAAAAAATAAAATAAAAAACAATAGCCATTGTGGACAATGTGAGTGTGTGTTGGTGTATTGATCTGCACAATTAGGATCAAAATTTCCAGAAACCAAAAGAACATGTTTAAAAATCAAATTTAATAAAAAAAATTAAAGAACGAAAAAGAAAACGAAAAACTCACTTGGATCCGTATTAGTAATAGTAGCTACGCCGGCAAAATCACAGGCTGTGGCTTGTTGGGGGTTCTTTTGGAAATAGCTGTTCACGGCGTAGTTGCAGTGCTCAAGCACCGTATTCGGCTGGTAGCACGACCCGCTGTCGCGGATCGCGTTGCAGTCCGCCCCGTGCCCGCACG